AAAAGAGGAAGACCCCCCAACGAGATGAATTGGCCAAGTGGCAGCATCGATGGACTCAAGCGTCGCAACACTAGTGAGGTTGGCCCAGGATCGGTCAGTGTTTCGTTCTGCCTTGCATAAGGTCACTATGGGTTGGTACCAACTTGATGGCAACTAACAACAACAACACCCAGGAAGAAAAGTAGCAAGTTTGGCCTGACAAACCATATGAACAATCTGTAAAACCCCAACATAAAAAGACACAACTATTCAAGAATTACGCTGTGCACATGCAGATACTTAACTGACCTTCAGAGACAAAAAAAGTAAACAATCTTTCTTCCATTAACTTCTCAGTATCTATCTGCGCATCTCTACAGTGGTGACTAAAGGAGGGGCCTGAACGAGTGGACACCCCCACCTACTACTGGAGGCTTCTATGGTACACACACACTGCTTGTGTAGCAAGGCGACTAGATAGTCAGCCACAGTTTTATTTTTGTTTCCAAGTGAAGGTTCTTGTCCTTGCTTTTATATTGCTTCTACTTTGGGGCCTTTTGTTCACACATTTTTACTGGAGGTGGGAGAAAGAATAAGAAGACCAAGGAAATAAAGTTTAATACATGGAAACTGAATAACATCCTGCTGAAAAGCGACTGGGTAAAATAAAAACTAAAATGTGAATTCACAAAGTTCCTAGAAACAAACGAGAATGGAAACACAACATACCGAAATCACTGGGACACGGCGAAAGCGGTGCTGAGAGGACAATTTATTGTGATAAATGCGCACATCAAAAACAAAAAAAGTAAAGAACCAAATTAACACATTAACCCAGCATCTCCAACAATTGGAAACAGACCAACAGAGGGAACCTACAGTCACCAAAAGAAAAAAATAATAAAGATAAGAGCAGAAATAAATGAGATGGAAAACAGAAAAAATATAGAAAGAATCAACAGGACAAGAAGCTGGTTCTTTGAAAGGATTAATAAAAAGAACAAACCATTGGTAAAACTAACAAAAGAAAAGAGGGAGAGGACACAAATAACTCTCATTAGAAATCACATGGGCAATGTAACAACGGAACCAAACGAAATCAAAAGGATAATAACAGAATACTATGAAGAGCTGTATGCCAACAAATTTGAAAACTTAGAAGAGATGGATATATTTTTAGAAAAACACAACCTACCTAAACTTACACACAGTGAAGTAGAAAACTTGAACAGACCCATAACAAAAGAAGAAATTGATCAGATCATCAAAAGACTCCCAACCAAAAGAAATCCAGGCCCAGA